AGCTAATCTTACTTCTACCATTACACCTACCCTTTCCAAGAATTTGCCATAAACGTTTTGATTTCGGAGAGTTTTATACATTTCACTTTCTGCGGCCTATATATTTTCCAAAAAGGACTTCTGAAAAATGTGAAAATAAAAATAAAACTATTTTGCTAAGGAAAACCTGTTTTAATTCATCCATTTTAAATTTTTCGGTAAATTTTATTTTTGTAGTATGGAGTTGGAAAAAGTTTAGTAGTCTAAGCATTCTTGTGCAAAGTTTTTGCAGGTGTATGGAGGGGGGAGGCAAGGTGTAAGGAATCCCCCCTTGGATAGGGTTAATAGGGAGTGAATGGTGCATACAGTATAACTGCAGAGATACGTTGTGATGTTTTTAGATGTATAAAACAGGAGTCAAACCTTATAGAAATCCAACGTATAGAAACCGCTAGGTATAGCAACAAGGTGTGTTTTCCGGGAGAATATTTTTATATTTTTGAGAAACTAAACGTTTTTGTGAAACATTGTAGCTTATCATTATCATTATCATTATTTCTATTTTTTAACATGCTCTAGACACTATACAACCAACTAGATTAATATGTTCATTTGTACATTTGTTTAAGGTCCCTCCAGATTTTATTATGTACTGAGTACTGACAACATAAATGAATGATTATATGGTTATACATAAGATTGCGTGTTACTATTAAAAAAAATATTTCATTAAAATGCTGTCTACAGTTTTATTTTTACAGAAAAAAACACTCAAAAATATAAAAAAATGTTCTCCAGTTATGCTAATATAATTTCATAAAATTCCGTGTTACCATTTAAATAAAAGAATTTTATGAAAATTGTATCTACTTTACACTGATTTTTTTATTTCTCAAAAATAAATGTTCTCTCGGGAAAAACGCTTTGTTGCTATCCTAGCGATTTCTATACGTTGGATTTCTATAAAGTTTGACTCCGATAACAAACAGCCTACTTTAAAAACGGGTTTCCAAAACCAGATTCCGCAATTTCAAAAATTTTGGACTCAGGTCATACTTTCATTGAGACTAATTTAGGACTCGAGTTTTCGGATTAAAGTTGCATCATATCATATTTTTCCACAGAGTTGGGTCTATTAAACCGGTTTAATAGTGTATTTGGTGGATTTTCATGGTTGGAATTTGTGGATTCCAGGGATTTGATTAGAATATGCCTCAAACGAGTCAAAATTCAGGGACATTAGTTCTAAAACTAACACTTGGCCCTTTTCTAACACTGAGTGTTAGAAAAGGGCACAAATTGAAAGACTGGGTTTTTAGGATCCTGGCTCATATCGAGAGTAAAAGTAGATAATAAAAATAACCAACATTTTATTTATTTTCTGAAATCAAAATTATAAAAGGAGTTCTTTTTATATTACACCCTTGACCGTTTTCAAGACAATGTCAGGTTTTCCATTTCCGAACATATCCTGAATTTGAATCACTGTCGCGTTTTCGAGACAAAACCCAGTTTCCCGTTGTTGAGTATAATCCACAATTCAAAACAAAAATCACTTTCATAACTTACAAAATATATCACTGAAAGTAAAAATTATCTTATAAAGACTAAATTATCTGCTAAATTGTTTCTAAAATCTTAGTTTCCCATTTTATTTGTAAAATAAGAGAATAAAGTTGTTTTAATTTCCCGCATTTTAAACAACCAATTTCCCGCATAACTAGTTATTATATTGTAAGAAACAAACTAATATTAATATTTTAATTTAGCAATGCTATAATGATTTTTTAATCATGAAAGAACAGTAAGTTTTTTTTTCTATTTTATCTTATATTTTATAAAAATGGGTTATTGCTTGAACATTGAAATTGATATGAATTCGAGTAGTTGTCTCAAAACCAGTTACAAAAACGCGACATGAGCTGAAAAACTAATTCTCGCACCTTATTATTAGTTAAAAGTAAACATTTTTTCAAAATATAGGCTTTTTTTTATAAATGTATGGTGTAGCTTTGTTCAACTTGGCTTGGATTTAAAGGTATTTACGCGTGGAAAAGATAACTTTGCAGACTTGGCCCATTTCTTTATCACTTAGTGTTAGTTTTGGAACAAATTTTCCCTTTAAATTGAGACTAAATCTCTACTAAAACCAACCAAGGTCATTTTTTTCAATTTAACCTAAGAGCACAAGCTGGCGTCGGCTGATTCATAAGTTGATTCTAAGGAACTAAGACTCGAGCCGTAGAATTTAAATCGCGGGCTCAGGTCTGTAAAACAAGATATATTTTCTATAGTGTGGCAGAAAATGTGGACAGCAGGGTGGGAAGGAATCTCCTCATGCTTCAGGTAATCTATCTATCTATCTATCTATCTATCTATCTATCTATCTATCTATTTATCTTTCTTTCTATCTATCTTTCTTTCTATCTATATATCTTTCTTTCTATCTATCTATTTACCTTTCTTTCTATCTATATATCTTTCTATCTATCTATTTATCTATCTATCTATCTATCGATCTATCTATCTTTCCTTCTTTCTTTCTATCTATCTATCTTTCTTTCTATCTATCTTTCTTTCTATCTATCTATCTATCTTTCTATCTATATTTCTTTCTATGCAAGCAGAGAATTTCATAGGTGAATATTGTCCAATGAAATGTCTATGAAATGTCCTATCTATCAAATTTCCTATCTTTGAAATGCGTTTCTATGAAATGTCTCGCGCCACCTATAGCAAACCTGAAACTACCAACTGGTCAGGAACTATGTGAAGACTATCACATAATACTGCAGTGTTAAGAAAAGTTTCAAATTATTCAATTTAGATCTTGAAAATCCATTAAAAAATTTACAAAATCCATAAATTTTCGTAAAACACCAGAGGCCGAATTTAAAGAATTTGAGCCGCGGCTTAAATTTAATTTTGGTGGTTTCACTTAAATTTGTATTAAATTTTTCAATTGAAACCGGTTTTGAGGGATTTGAGAGGCGGCTTAAATTGATTAAATTCAGACACAGTACAGGTATACGGACACCCTGATATACGTCTTCTATACAGATTTGTTTTTAAACTGATCAGATACACAGACACTGCAACAAATGATTTAAGAGAAGACTTTAAATAATAATTATATTCTCTAAAAACTTGTTATTCCAGGGACAAACAAGAGTAATTGGTGGTATAAAAGTAACCTTTAGAATTCGGCACAGTAATGGAAACCTTCTCCCAGATCTTCAGGTGAAATATTTAATGATTAGGATTCAACGCTAATTGTCACACTCTTCCTTGAAATGATTTGTCATTATTTGTTAATGTAAAATAATAACAAAAAAATATTCCGCACACGTAGAATTAACTTATATCTATCTATATATATCCATCAGGGGGGATGATAGTTCTCTACCTGTGTGCTCAGTTAGTTGTACTGTACACTTACAACTGTTTACTGATATTGATAATCTTTAGGTTAGGCCCGAATCAACTTATAATAAACAAATATGCAGTACGCTCTCGGTATAGTTTGTGGCCTATAAAATTAGTAAAGGATTAGCGTACATCATCATTCTATAACACTATAACCTCGTTGATATCCATACTGTTTCAGCAAAGTAGAGCCTTCCGACCCGTACATGTAAATTTGAATGTCAAGCTAGCTCTAATTGGCTGAAATTTGACAATAGATTTAGCGTATGGTGGCCATGGGACCGACTGTTAGGGTTACCGTACTGTCAACATATTTTAAACTTTTTTATTCAATTCCGCAATTTAAAAATATTATTGCACGGACTAATGATTCCCATAACTTATCTGATTTAAAATTTGCACACCAATGTAGACTTTTTCCATTGTTTTTGCGTCGTTGTACGCATTGTTTTCTTTATTAAATAGCCAGCTATTTATATAGAATTTCCTAATTTCATTAAATTAAGGACCCGTAATTCTGTATGCGCAGATCATATATTCCCATGTTTGATGTTCAAATATGACAAATGATGCATCGTTGAAAAGCTCTTATGCTCTACTTTTAGAATCTTCAAAAAATTGCAAATTTGCAAAAGTTGATTTTTTTGCAAAATACGGTTATAAAGTAAGGTCCAAAAAATGATCAAATAAAGATTTTTGAAAAGCCGCCCTTGAACATGCCATTTCAAATATGCAAAAAAATTTCAAAATTTTCAAGAGTCTGATTTGTAAACGAGATGAGGCACTAGGTCACAAAGTCGTACCGTGATCATCTCCTTCTATCTCTAGTTTCCAATTGCAGTGGGAGTGGTTCATATCAACTAATATCAGTGCCCGTCAAAACTTTAAACCATGCGCAACTATTTAGAATATTTGTCCTTATTTTCTTAAAAAGGGAAAATCATAATAATCTGTTAGTCAAAATAATCTTAGTTTAAAATATCAAAGGTTTACATCATCAGATGTAAACCTTTGATTAGGGATTAGATTAGGGATTAGACAATTTGAGTTTGTAACAAAAACTCATTTCCTTCATTATCCTAGTACGGTTTTATATGAGAAAAAAAGAATTAATTTGGTTACTTATTAGAAATTAAAAATTTTCAATTCAACTTTTTGTTCTTTTCAATAACTCTTTCATTAAACGAGTTCTAATCGAAAACATAAAAGATTTCATTCTTCAGAGCTGGGAACTTTAGAATGGATAACCTTTAATCCCAACTACTTAATCCGAATATCCACTGTGGAAACTTTTAATTTTAGTCCTTAATCCACTCTTTTTTTTCTCTCTGTGGATATCCGTATTCCGTACATTAATTTCTCCAATGAGAGTGAACGAATATAGTTCGTAAATTGTATTGGCCAATAACAGCCTTGAAAATTAATTCTATCCCATGAGAGAAATCCACAATTTCTAACAAATAAAGATTTTGTTGTTGGCCATTTTTTTAATTAATCGTTGAAGAGAAATATTAAAAAACAGGTTTAGATTCTTTTGTAACCAATTTTAACTAATGCATTAATAAATAAATGGGTGAGAAATTAAGTGAGGGCCCTTTCAGTCCAGAAAATGAACCAATCTGGCATCCTTAGAATCCAATTTGTTGATCAAAATATTTAATCTCAAAACTAACATAATCTCGAGATTATGTTAGTCTCGAGGTTAGCAAAAACAGAGGATTAAGCATTAATCCTGATATCCACCATTCTAAAGTTCCCAGCTCTAAACAATTTGCTGACACGTACCTCTGCCCCTCTAGTAAAAGTAAATTCAATCTTTATGAAGCATAAAGTCTGACCGCGTCAACCTTGTTGCACCGGCTATTCCTGTCCATAGAGCTAGGTACAGTACAAACTGGGACCAGAAAGGTTGACCCGGCTCGGAAATTCAAATGTGTACTACGGCTGCCCGTGCTGAAAATGCGTTGCAGGGATTAAAGTTTACCTAGTTCTCTTGAAAACTGCATAGCATTATGGATTTATCTGCTAGCTCGCGATCTACTCCGATAGATGATCGAATACAAAAAATTTAGAAATAACTTTATTTTGTCAACTGGAATGACCAAAAGGTTTTTATTTAATTCTTATTTGGGATCTCGAAATTTTATTTATGTAATTTAAAAAACATAACGAGAAACATATTTTATTTATTTAGAAACTGAAGTTTTAAAACAAACTTTGAACAGGTCTGAATTTTTAGTTATATTTTGTTTTTCTCTATTTCTGCCCAATTCACAGCAGTTCCTTTTTGTCTAAATCTTAAAAAAGTTAATACTAAAAAGTAAAGGGAGTGTTCCCGAAAAATGAAAGGGGGTATAGGCTTAGTGCGATAAAAAAGCGCTTTTGATCGCTGCTAATTTTATTTCTATCTGTTGCGTCTGTAAGGAGAAAATTGTTAAAGACGTCTCATACCGAATAACTTAGTGGCCATACAAATTCAGAAAATTGCAACTACGACTTAGACCGTAAAAAAATCAATTTAATTTCAAACAAATCATTCAGATATTGCGACCTATAGTCATCGATTATCTTTTGCCACATTTGTATATAGTTTATATTTTATAATTAATTTGTTTATTTCTCTTGTTGCTTGCGCAACTATCTAAGAATGCCGCACACCACTCACAATTTTCGAAATCCGTTGAAAACGTTTTATAAAAAAATAAAATATTATAAAATATAAACTATTGTTGACTTTAAAAGTCACTATAATGAAATAAAGAGATCCAAATGGATATTTCTAACATTTATTTAAAAAACGAAAGTTTTGAAATATTTGCATATAAGGCGGAGTTAAAATTGGTTGATTTAGAAATTAACAAAGGAATTAATGATGGATATTTGATGGCACTTCATGGGAGTGTTGTAGAGCTTCACGTTGGTGGAGCAGATCAACAGGAACTGGGACAACAGGGTTTATCAGTGGAACTAAGGCAATGCAACTCGAGATAGCGGAAACTTCGGTCGGAGCCGGGCACAAGTTTCCTAAGTAAGCTTCTCAAGAAGTTAATAGGGAGATCAGAGGTATAAGCACGCCTGCTGTTAGCTCAGTATCTGCATCATCAGCATGAAGGAGTCAAGAGGCTCCCTGTGTCGGAGCTGTTACCAGCCCAACTCTCCTAACCTGACTGAGGGCTGGGGTGTGTAGAGAGTGAGGCGGGGAACGAAGGATTGAGGGTTACATGTGTGTGCTTCATGGCGGAAATGGATCGTGTGTATACACACATCTTGAAAATAGTTGATTGCAATTGAGTCGGTAAAATCGTCTTCCTTATATTTCGAATTTGTGTTAACAACTATATACAAATGTGGTGAAAAATAATCGATGACTAAAGGTCGTAATATCTAAATGATTTGTTTGAAATTAATTTGATTTTTTAAGTAGTATGTTGCAATTTTCTCAATTTGTATGGTCGCTAAGATATTCGGTATGAGACGTCTTTAACAATTTTCTCCTTATAGACGCAACAGATAGAAGTAAGATTAGCTGTGATCAAAAGCGCTTTTTTATCGCATTAAGCCTATACCCCCTTTCATTTTTCGCGAACACTCCCTTTAATGTCACGGAATAACAAATGTTGTCGAAAAAAATTCTGTATTTGTTTTGATTAAATACAATGATTATTCATTTTTATTTTAATTAAAGAGCAGAAGATCAACTATTCTTTATTATTTTTCTAGCTGAAAGTAAACAAATAAACATCACATGTTTATTTCCTCTCTCTTTCTTCTATTAATTTATTTTTCAGCAAAACTAAACATGCATTTACTATGCTTATACAGAGTACATATATACCTTGCTTGTCTGGGTGTCTTGGTGTTTGTTTGTTTGTTTGTTTGTTTGTATCCAAAAAACGTCAAAACGGCTGAACCGATTGGGCCCACATTTTGTGTTGGACCTTACATGACCCTAAGAAAGTTTTATGTATGATCAAAACTTTAAAAATTTACCTCCATCAAAATTTGATTTTCAAAACCACAAAAAGATATTTCATATGATCTGCGAGGTTTTTTGTTTGTTATTTTTTTATGTTGTACACAAAGAGAATAAAATGTATACAATTAAAATAGAAGATGAGCGTGAATCGCCCTGAGAGCCTATTAATATAACAACCTATAATATCTAAAAGACGTACTTAAACAAATCAAATACGCATTATCTCTTGAGCATATTTTAGAGTGGGAATTATGTAGAATTCTAGGGGAATTTTGATGAGTCTAGGATAGGGAAGCTGCTATCTGCCCCATCCCTTTTTCTCGTGTCACCTTTTCAATACGAAACGTTGATTTTAATATTCAATGGAAGATTTAAACGAATAAAAAAAAAAAATTTGTTTTGTTTTAATACATCCTAGCATTATAATTGGGGACAAAAGTTTCTATATTTTTTATTCAGAAAAGATTTTTAATCCTTTATCTTTTTTTTACTTTATTTCGTTTCTGTAAACAAATCCCAACCCTATACTCTCTAGTCTCTCAATAGAATTATTCATTATTATACATTTCGACAAGGAAAGGAATCATGTTTAAAATACAAACATGAAAACTAAAATGAGCTTCTCAGAATTAGTTATTTCTTTTTTGTATTGTAATAGCTAACCCTTTATTACTAATTCTATTTCTTCTTTGCGTGTAGAAATTGTACATATTATATTATATTTTCTTTTATAAATAAACTAGGCTTTTAGGGCGATTCGCGCCCATTTTCTATTTAAATTGTGAACATGTTCTTTTTGTTTACATTTTAAAACAAAGAAGAAAAAAATTTTGCGGAT